TTTACTCTCTTATAGGAAGTGAAATAAATGTGCACAATATAATAGGAAGCATTTATCTAAAATATACATATTTGTTATTTGTACAGTTATTTTTGGACTGTCTTATAAATAGTATATGGTATGCTGTTACTACAATAAGACTGATTTAAAAGTCATTTGACTGTTGAAGTAAGCCATTGGCAACAAGTTAATTAGGGCAGATACGAAACATTTTCATATTAACACTGGATAAGGTTCTTTTATTTTACTTTATTACAAATTCTTGTGTTTGATTCATACTGAATTTAATGGTATTTGAATCAAGCATGTAGTGTACTTAAATATCTTCAACCACACATAAAATGTAACCAGACTGTGTTGGCACATAATACTGTGCTTTTAAAAAGGTATAAAGGCTAGTACATTGTAATTCAAATATGTATTTGACACAGTTAAATGTCCTTCTCACAGAACATACTGAAACATGAAAAACAATAATTTGTGTGCATTTTTGCTGAAACTAACTGGTAGCTAGTCAAAGACTTTTAATTATTAATTGAAAGGTATTACTTGTGTCCAGCCTTCTATAAATGAATGTATTTTATAGGTTACACCTAGAAAGCTATTACCTAAACTACTAGAATAAATTTCTATCTATTTTATTTGTCCTTAATTTTTATCCTTAATTTTTGTATTTGTGATATTTGCAAATTATGCAGTACTGAGAACTTTTTTTCAAAATACAAGCTGTCAGTCAAATAGACATTAATATATAAAATTAGTTTCAGACATACATGCAGAACAAGGTGAACAGTATATGGAATGAACAAGCAGAAAAGTCTTGAGAAATTTTCCTTCCAAAAAGTTCTTGTAAACTTAATATAAAATACTGGATTCATAAGTATGAGTTGAATATATTATGTGATTGCCATGCCTCATGCACCTTTAGCACAGAGGCCTTGGCCAATAGACTCTTCATCTCATTTTTTTTTTTTCAGGTTCTACATGATATAGCCTGAACATGTTCCTTTGTTCATTGTGGAATAAACTGTACATATGATGGTCATGATCATAGTTCAGATTTGCAAATTCTTAATTACATTTTTATCAGTTCTATAAACAAACTGATCTAGTTTTAGGTCATGAATTTTCTGCATGACCTAGGATGTTGCCTCCTTTTGAAGGGCTTTTATTTGACAGGTGTAGACTATTAACCAATGTGGATACCCTTCCTATTCCCATATCCTGAGTAGAATATAGTCCACAGCCACTTGCATGACGGCAATTCTCATATCCTATAAAAGAAATACATCTAAATTTTGTGGAAATTTTGTTACAGAAAAAATCTCACCATTAAAAATCATTTTATTAATTATATGTACTGTTTAAGTATTTGCTTTGTAATATATGTATATCTCAAACTTAAATATATATTTCTTTTTATCTGACAATATTCTTATCACCTGGTACATGTAGTGGTAAATTTTTGGTCTATGATAATATGACTCTCTGACAAGATTTAGAATTTCTCAAATAATATGATGTGATTAGAATGAAACCGGTATTCATAATCTGTGCAAATCTTTATTTTTAAGTTGGCTACTCTAACCCCCCATTTCCCATCCAATCAGCATGGGGGTTTCATGAAAATTAGTATTTTGGGTAGGGGGTGGAGACACAATATATAAATGCATTTGAGTTTTACCTAATGTAAAATAGAAATGTTAAATGTGAGATTTTATCACACTGCTCACTTACATGACAGCTACAGCATATATATATGCTAGATGAACAGAGCTTGGGCAATTTTTTTAATGTAATGATATACATTCTGGGTGTATTGTCAATCCATATCCTACACTATCGATGCATATTCCATACCAAAACAAATGTAGTAATCATACACATCTCCACAGTACAAGAACCCATCTCTAAACTGTTTCAAATAGTTGAACTGGTCAATACGTAGAAGAGGGTAGTGGGTTACTTTTGACTGGCCTGCTGGTTTAAAAGTAATATTCACTGGTTATCTTTTATAACAAAAATGCATCAGTCAATTATTTGCCAGTGAAAGATGAAGGTCAAAAGAGCTGCAGCACTATCAAATAACTAATTTGCTTTCAATGTGCACAGGAAATGCCATACATGAAGTGTCCTAAAGTTCCATAGATCTGCCACATGCATTTCATCAGTGTTTCATATGAAAGAGTTATACGTGAGCTTTTTTAATGTTGTTCAGAGATTCCTAAGACTGTTAAGTGACTATGGTCATTCTACACCATAAATTCAATGAGTCCTTTCCAATCAAAATTTTAAAGTTACAATAAAATTACCTTCACATTAATGCATGGTATCTACATACTCCAAACGGAATCAAGTTTTATGTCCTTAAATACTAACAATACACAGCATTCATATTTTTTTCAACATCTTTTCACTAATTACGAAAACTGTTATGAGGTGCAACAAGTGAACTTTCATTACCTCTCCTTGAGCTTCCGTCGTCTGTTTGTTGTTGTGT